TGAAAATATTGCGTAAAGGCTTATAAGCACTTTAAGGTTTGCTATCCAATTTCTATTGTTTACCAAAATCTTTATTCTTCATCTTCTGAAAACCTAGCTTGGCCGACTAAACTAACCTTCATCAGATTTAAGGTTCACTTGTACTGCACTCGTTCCTGTCTGTCTTGCCACGGCTGAAACAAACACAGTAGCTTTCCCTCCACCCTCGACCAGCTTGGTTCGAGCTTGAAGCTGGAACAACCCGTTGCTTATGTCTGCCATGATGTACTCGCCAAGACCATTGAAGGTGTAGTTCAGGCCATCTAACGTCACGAAATGAGGATCGCCCCACAACCAGCCTGGTTACAAAAAAGCAATAATAACAGTTCTTTAATATTTCTGTACCTCTTTTTCACAAACGCACAACAAATAAGAGGCTTTACATCTCGATTTTCCAGGTACTTCTCTGCAAGAGGGATACTCCTTTGAGAGGGTCTGTGAGAAATGTTAATTGGTCTTTCTCTGTAGATTTTTTACATGTCTAGCAACCCTGAAGCCTTTTTTCATGATGAAATTGGAATTATTGGTCTTTGTGAACGAACGGAAACCAGAACCCAGGAATATACAAGAGAAACAACTCCACTCAATTCAAATAATCCACACACCAAAACCACATAAGTAAAAGGTAGCATATCGCAGTACAAAACACACATGCTTTCATTTAGTAAACGTTTTAAGATATTTAAGTGATAACTAGCATATTTTGGTGGGGAATACTTACTCCATTCCGTTTCTTTATAACCGAAACAGTTATTCGTTGGCCGTCGTTTGTAATATAAATGACACATATTGCTATATATGCAACAGGTTATATACTCGTTCTCTTTTATAGTTTTTTTAACCCTCAGGTACTGCTTTCTTGCTGTCCCTCCATCAGGATATCCTTTAATCAGAGCCCCAGTACTCCTTTCGTAACAACATTCTTGTCCCCATCCATGAACAGATTTAAAAACTGTGTATGCACAAATGCGATGCCTTTCTTGTGGATCCATTTCGAATCGTTCGTCCCACCACGCTTGTCGATAAGTACAAGGACAAGGCTCTAGATGTTCAGTGTACTTTCGGTGGTCTGGTTCTCTCTTATACCAATCTATGCATTGTTGTTTAAAATCTACGCGGTTAATATCTTCAAGGCGAAAGAACCACGTCCCAGGTGACTCGTGGATTTTGAAATCCCATGGGGAATCAAGTTTGTTGGTTGGATATACAGTAGAGCCATTTAATTGGTTGATATTCACAATGCCAGGAGTACCAGAGCTAATTAAAACATCAAAAGAAGCTACATTATAATACAAGTCACTGAATGCATATTCAAAGAATCGCATCGGAATAGACCCTTCTCAAAATTATCTTGGATGCGAGGCTAACATGCATGAAATACAAAAGAATTGCCATAAATTCTATCTACAAAAAGTCTGATTTCTTTTGTGTTTTCGTGCTGTTAGACTCGCATTCAAGATATTTTTGAGAAGGGTCCATCAATTGTATTCCATGATTCCACGGTTTCTTAGTATGAATTGTTTTAACATTCTAAAATGACGAAAGTGCTATGCCTATGTCATCATGGCATTAAGCTATTGAGTTGGATAAAGTTAATTTAAGAAAAAAATTTATACATTTATAAAAAAATTTATAAAATAACCTACCCAATGACGTCATAATAGCGCGGGACAACACGATTGTGCTCTCCTGAGTTGAAGCCAACAACAGGAAGCCCATGATTATTGTATGCTGCATACAAGCTGTAGTATTTTCTGTTGATAAAAAAATGCTTATTTAAATAACGGTAATATTTGGATTAAAGCTTTTTAATAGTGGAATCAATGAAATAAAGATTACCTTTGTGTGGGAGCGGCCCACTGGATTCCATTGGGTGGATAGTTGTACATTGCAAAGGAAAGCGTGCCATCAGTCATGACTACTGCTTGAAACGTGTTTTTCTTAAATGAAAGGCAATTTTAATTGAATTTTTCACAACCAATGCCAAAGTCTTGTTACAAATTTTTCGTCGTCAAAAAGAATTTGGGTGTAGAGGTTTTGCATGTTCATTTGCCGGTGGCCATCTACAATGGCAGAACAAGATGATATCCTTCCTCATTGAACAATTGAATTATTGTTCCTGACATAAAACATGGCTGAAGTCATGTTATCGCGTAAAACCTCTATTCTATATTTGACATTAGTATTATTGATAATGGCCATATGCATGATACGGATCAAAATCGTAAGGCCTCATGCGACTCATGGCGATGCGAGATGTTGTTTATAATACACTCAACAAAATTGAGCGACTTAATTGGGACTCTATAGAGTATAATATGAGATTTAATTGTATTCGTCTTGTCCAATCAGAATTGAGTAATTTTGTTGAGTGTATTATGAGGGCCGAAAGCTTGGTTCAATTTATTCAATGTTATGCGATGAAGCAAATGAAATCCAGCTTCTCAATATATTGTATTTAGCGTCAAACCATGCGTCTTAACTTACCTGGGATAAAGCCAGTTTTGTCGTACTCGGAAAACGAAGATCAACCCACGTCACTTTAAGAACCCACTTCGCTTTAAAGTTTGCAACTAACGAGTTGACACCACTAGTGTCGAAGTGATTTTTAACGTGATACGAAGCTTGAGGAAGGATCGTTTTTGATTCCCAGCTGTTATCTGTGTCCTTGTATTCTTGATAGTACACTTTCGAAATGCCGAGAGTTACAAACGAATCTTCCACGTCAGTGAGGGCCCAGTACGGAGCCAACATCGCGGCATTTCGCAGCAGCTCATGCTGTTCACTAAATCTGTGTGGCCAGCGGATGAGTTGTGGTGTTTCAAACAGTAAGAGACCATTGCGACAAATCTAGGAAAGAAAAACTTTCCGATTAAGAAATAACATAGTGTAGAACACCGTTGGCGCTAACTTGTCTCCTTTGCAGCGCTCTCCCTGATTTGTGCGTTTGATTACCACTTTGGTGCGCTATCATAAAAAAAGGAAAACAACAAACCTTCAACCTTTAAATTCTATGGATCAAAGTCAGGGCACCGACCTACGGTTAACTCACAGAGCGAATTTGAACTTAGCGGAAGGAGGAACTGAACCGGAGAACCTGGAGAAAACCCTTCGAATCAAGGAAGAGACCTGACAATCTCTACTCATATGAGATGCAGAGCCTTGAATTCAAAGGATAGGCGACATCTTGGGAAAAGAAGGGGTATATATGATGGGGTACATTGGAAAACGAAAGCCTGCATCTATTCTCGTCTACTTAAACAACAAATACGAATCACGTTCTTACTATTTCCTTACGTGAATCTTATGATGTCTTTTCGTAAAGAACTGCATCCCATCGTCAGGAATATCGAGAGTGAAACATCTTGTAGAATAATCGTGTGTATTTGGAAGCAAGGAGTCACCAGCGGCAACTCCGTATAGATACATTCCTAATTCTGTAAACAAAATTTGAATCAAATACAATCTGTAGTGGAACGGTTAACCAACAACAGAGTAACGAATCTATGCCTTTTTGGTTTATTTTCAAATGTTTTAAATGCGAGGCTAATTTCCGGATCGAAGGAATCAGAAGAAGATTTATTTTATATGTTGCCCGCAGACTGGTGCTGCACAAACCCCTCAGGTTCCCCGTCGAGGTACATTTCACCAATTTCCGACCCCGTAAAATCCCCACACTGAGGGCGTTTACTACCACTGTTAGTTGATTAATGTAGAGATGCTCTGTTGTACAGCGATTTCAAAGGAGGTTGGTCAAGGATTTTGTTGCATCTTGCATCTTGCTTGTTGCTTTAAACTAAGCTCTAAATGTATTATATTCATGCATATGTAAATAATATCAGCACAGACGAAATTATGCCGGAAAAACGTGTTGATAAAGTTTAGGAGAATTTTATATCGCTCTGACCTTTCGCTAATTGAATTTCCATGGCCCATAGTGCAGTTCGGACTTGGTATGATATACATGCAACAAAATAAACCTTCGGCAATTCAACCTTTTTGAAATAGCTGTGTATATGTAGGATATTACAACCAAGCTATTACTTACTTTCATTTACTTTTGGAAGACTTGTAGGTTCTGGCATTTTTGTTCCAGGAGTAGCTTTAACGAAGTTATAAAATAACTGTTATAAATCTCGCGTTCTAATTGGTTAGGAGGTTGGTTTATGAGAGCACACAGCACGCGCGCGAACTTTCAGTTGCGTAATTCCTATCCAAAGTAACGATTATCGTAATTTATTTCATAAAAGAAATAAAACACCTGCTTTCTATGCTGTGTGCAGTTATAAAGAACTTGGATATTGGCAGAACACTCGAGAAATGTCGACAAGAACTTCTCCTAACACCTCACTCGTGTTCTGCCAGCCCCCGCGTGCTTTATATAACTGCACACAGCACGCGCGCGCGTTTTGTATTTCTTCAATAACAGTACGTTAACGACCACACTGCCCACGATCAACCCAACATCTAAAACAACATCAACAGTAATGCATAGAGCAGAAGCGAAACAATTTGGAAGTCTTTACCTTCCGCTACAGAATTTTCTCGTTAAACAGCATGGAATATCCCACTTGTCACTCGGCTGAATGCTCACATGTATACTGAAGAAGTTCAAGTGCCTTATGGGATATTCCAGGGTGCGCCACTCAAAACCATTGTTTAACTAGTATCAGCAATTTTTCAAGAGGATTATTACCTGAAGGTCGAAGTAATCCAAACGTTTTGCTCATCGGTCCACGAAACACTCCCTTAGTTGTGTGAATCAACACAAATGCCTGATATTCGTATCTCAACTCTAATCCTGTTAATATTGCCTTGTTCGTGGTTGTTAAAGTAACGTTATATTCCAAGTCGCTACTGCTACCTTTTTTGTACAACACCACGTATTCAAGAATAGATCCTTTATATTTTTGTAACGAGAATGTTATTGTAGTTGTTTTTTGTCCGGGTTCTATGTCATCTGGAATAAAGATGATATTATGATCACAATAGTTTTCTTAGTAAACATTGAGTATCGTTAAGGGAACGTTCATGATTTGTGTTTTGATGGGGGGGGGNGGGGGGGGGGTAAGGGAAGGGGGGCTATATGGATTTAATAAGGTGCATTAATTTTAACATGGATCATTTTCCACAAAATAGATGCCGTTGGATATGAGAATTTACAATTTTGGCTATGCAAAGTTGTCTTGCTTGGGCCACACTGACATTAGAATCAAGCTAGCAAACACATACATTGGACACCGAGGCTATTTGTTACTGCAAACACTCTTGCAAGAAAGCCACTCTCTTCCAGTCCTCCGTCTGTCTTGAGTTTCACGAAGCCTGCTTCTGAAGATAGCTTAACTGCAAAGGGATCTTTTTTCCCACAGTAATCATTAATTTTGCCATCAGCTTGTTTTACTACCACCTTGTCACTAAAATTTAAAATTAAAAAACAAAAGACTTGTTCACTTTCTCACCTTCATAGTATATTTTCTGCGGAAAAAAAACCCGAAAGGGAGGAGGTCTAGTTAAACGATTTAAACGAAATTTTTATTTTCTGTGAAACATCCATTATCTTTTGGCCATGCAAAGTTGTCTAGCTTGGGCCTTGGACCCGGTGGACGCCTATAAATATGGAATCGCTAGTAGTTAAAAATAAAGATATGACTTACGAACATCCGTCCTCAACGTGAAATGTATAAAAAACCACATATACATTCATTTTTTTTTCAGAAAAAATCTGCCAAGTACAATCAAGGTTACTGAGGTAGTTGCCAGGGTGCCGTGGGCTACTAAATGTCCAAGTAAATTGGTTTCCTGTTGCATTTTTAACATCGTCGCATCCTTAAAAAATAATAATAATCAAGTATAGTAAGGCGAAACAATTATGATGACTTATGATAAATAAATAAATAAACAAACAAATTGATAATTACCCAGCTAAATTACCTGAAATAGCAAATACAGCTTTACTCTTCGTTCCAACACCAACCGTCGTGACTCCAGCTATTTGGATACGATATTCAGTAGCAGGTTCCAGTCCCCTTAAATATGCCGTCATTGGCATGTTCTCATTTGTTGGTTTACCGACATTCATTTCTGCCCAGTTTTCGGAGGTCCATGCTTTCTTATAGAAAATTACGTAATAAGTAATAATACCATTACGTGCAAGTTTAGGTATCGGTTGCCAGCTGACCATCATTGCGTTTCCTTTTGCAATAGCTGAAATATTAGCTGGGCCTTCACTGGGAACTAAAAAAGAATAAAAATTTTATTTGGCAACTCATCTTTGAAAAAAAAAGAAAACAAAAGGAAAGAAAATAGAATGGAATAGAATATAAACAAGCATACCATCTTCAGAAGTTGTTTTATAAATTTTTTGGCTTCCCAAGTATTGAAAATTGTTTTGACTGTTTTGGACAACAATCTGCGTGGTATAGTTGGTGTACTTCATTAACCCATTCTCTACAAGAGAATTCTGGGATATATCGGTGGTAAATACTGTAGCATTGAGAGGTAGGCCATCTGGCACACATATGATGAGGTACTCAGTAACAGAGGGGCTGCCAGGTAAAGCGGGATGAGGACCCCATTGTACTGTTATCGCTGTCGAGCTGATAGGTTGCACAGACACACCAGGCCATTGAAGACTCTCTGGAACTAGATTCGGAATTACCGGTTAGTGACCTTATTAGTAAAATCGGTACCCCGCTAAATAATCAGAGCTTTCAGATGTAAAGCACCAACTTCAAAATGATTTTCTTTATGAAATTCACAAATATTCAATTTCATCTGCCATAACAGGGTAATTTTTGGTCCGGATTTGGATTTTTGCTTGTTATAGAGTTCTGATCGCGGATCTAAACCACAAAATTGCTAAAAAAAAACAATAGACCCTTTCACGGTTTCCGACGCCATATTGTTTGGGGGGCAAAATTACTAAGGAGCGTATGGGAAAGAGATACGCGTTTCGTTATATTTCCTTTCTGAGGTATATTTTCGAGACCAAACTTTTTCTGTAGATGGATCGGGCGTTAATTTTAATGGGTAGAAGGGTTTGCATGCCCCTATTCAATCTCATCTTATTGTGTTTCGTGTCAGCGGACGATAAACGTAGTTCGTTCAAAAACGTGGCCGATTTTTTTTCAAGACTCCATTGGAGTTGTATAGATCAATAAAATAGTAATTTTCTAAATTTTAACTTTCAATTCTATTATTGAGAATTTTATTGAAAATGTAAAGCGTTGCTTGAACGTCTGGATATGACGCTATATAAAATACCATATTATTATTATTTATTATTATTATCATTCGTTTTGTTTGTTCACTTATTTTGTCTACGTTATTAGTCTATCATCGATTATTTTATTGAAAAAGCGAATGATGAGTATATAAGCGCGTTTGCGCATGATCATAATGCTTGTTCTGGACTGACTAGCGACTGAATAGCCTCTCATACATGCGAAACGATTGATCAAAATGCTAGATCCTTTGTAAGGCTGGATATCATCCCACATCGAGCAGCAAAAGCGAATTTCCTTTATAAATAAGTTTTTGATTGATTAAGTTTCGAGGATCTTTCGCATTTGAAACTAAATTTCGTCTAAAGTTCGTACGCAGACGACATAAGCGATCGATAATCATTTAAATATTAATCTTCTAACATCTTAGTGAGTGAGCAAGTGAGTGGGTTAGTGAGACACATTTGCATATTCAGACCCTCACAATAACTCGAGTTTCTACGCTTTGCGCAATCTCGTACCCAGAGCCTTTATTTCTTACTGCGCATGCTCGACGAAATAAATAGGCTCTGGAAAACTCCAATGACCGGAAGCCAGATTATGGCTAAGCACTACCAAATGACAAAAACAAAATGGCGGACTGTCATGTACTGTGGCCAATAAAAATTGCTCTCAATAAAATGGGCTGTGAAGGTAGGTTTAAGCTCATATAGAAACAATACAGAGCCATTATTTATCATAAAGTTGGGGTGAAACGATGCTTAAGTTGTGTTTGTCAACTGGATACGGCAAATCGTAAGTGTATAATAACTCGCCACTCATGTAGGATTACATTTCTGGTTCTGTTTGTTTCCYGCTCGATCCTTCRTAAACTTACATATCTTTATCGCCTGATTCTGTAGTTCACAACGGTACTAAATTATTAAACTATCTGGGTGTTTTTCGAATTGTATTCCTTGAATTTCTTGAGTTTTGACTTGAATATTTACATTCAAATTAAACTTTGATGTAAAATATTTTACTACCAAAATAAAGAAAACTGAACGGCCAGATACCAGTTGCTTTAATAATATTTCTTCATACGATCAAGAGCGATCAAGTATTTGTGGTCGGAATCACCATTTTGTATCGAAGTAGTTTCTACTTCCGGTGTCATCCTTTGTTTTCTTGAGAACCAATCACGAGGTCGGAAATACTGGAGTTTTTCAGAGCCTATTTATTTCGTCGAGCATGCGCATTCGAGTAAACAAACAGATACCAGTATTAACTTACTATTAGTGAGGGCGCCACTGAAGACAAAATATCGTGCTTTAAAACCAACCCATCTGGATGTAGCTCTGCTTGAGTGGAATCTTAGTTTAGCAGAACCTCTAGACATCCAGGTGATAAATCTTCGAACTCCACATACTTTACCAATTTGAAGCCCATTGCTGTCCTCAAAAGTAAGGTTGAACACTCTACAAGATAAAGGAAAACGTTTTGAAAATAGACTAAATCGAGGTGGGCTCCTTGATTCCAATCTCCTGTTTTAATTACAACGTAAACGCGAATCACTAAAATACATGTAGCTAGTTGAGGTACCTTCAAATCTCAGTTATTAGTAGCTCTGGGGTTATACTTCTTCAAAGCCTTTTTTGTTCTTAGATCAAAAGGCCTATTACAGACAAAGAAAATTATCCCCCGATTCTAAATTGGGCTTCCTGTGCCTAAAAAAATTGGGAGCTCCGCTTTTAGGCAGTGCTTGAATTTATATATTACGGTATACACCTAATTGAAAAAACGTTGTCGGGTTCAAAAAAAGGTTACATGTATATGACCAAAGCTAAGACCGAAGGGGAGCATGGGAGACAAACAGTTATGCTTATTTCATGCGTATTGCAGTTTTCCCTTTCTGTGCACATTTTATGCATCATGGCTTTGGCATGTTTGTTCCTGAGAAATGGGTTCTCTGTGTTTATTTAGCCCCAGAGGGCTTAGCGGGGGAGGGAAGAAAGAAACGTTGTCTTTGGCACGTTTGTTGCTCTTAGAAAATAAAAGCCGTTTTATCAGGAAAACAATCCTGAATACTAAAATAAAGAGTCGTTTTATCAACAAAACAATGTTGTTAATCTAGGTCGACCGACTTTGCTCTACTGTGCATTTTTACATGAGTACCCAAAATCCTTTTCGGTCTTAGCTTCGATGACGTTCTCGAACCCGACTACGTTTTTCAATTAGGTGTATATATAGTAACACTAACATGATACTTACAGGCACCGACTACTTATCGGTATACTGAGGTGTTCCACTATTACAACAATGACACCAGATGGAGAAGGAGCCGTGAAGTTCCACTGACATTTTGAGTTCCAGTAAATACGGGTTGGGTATCCAGGGCTTGTTAGTGTTCCACTTGTATCATTAATGGATTTGCCACAACCTTCGAAATGATAGAACAGTAATTTTTTCTGAGATAATGGACAAGAAACCAGTTAGTCAAATTTGAATATAAATAATACAAGCACACTCTTCCCCCCCAAGGAGCAGTATTTTTTTTTACTTATAGTAAGATATTAACTTACTCATTCAAACCTACCTCCTTTGTTTCCACAGTACCGCAAGTTACAAAAATGCTGTGGATAAAGTTTATAAACGTAAAAACCGCCACAGTTACGAACTTTAATAGTGTTATAGAAAGTACAACAATTTTCGATCCAATGATAGCACACAGTTCTCGTAACGATACCATCTCGAACTGCAGGATGTGTTCCAGACATCCATCCAGGAGCAGCAGTTCCACACCTGCTTTTAGGGACACATGAGGTCGCTATCTGTGTACCTGCCATTCCGCTAAAACGATACCAGACGATACCTAAACTGCCCAAAAAATATCGATCGCATTTCGCGTCTCCTGCTACACCTTGAGCTCGATCCCATGATGTCAGATTGTTGTAATATTTGCATTCTGCAATCGAAATGGAATTTAGGCTAAGTACTACTTGTCTTTTTCGAAGGGGGGAAAACCGGATAACCTGGAGAAAGACCCTTGAAGCACAGGAGAGAACCAACAAACAACTCTACTAGCATACGACAGCAAGGTCGGGACTCGAACTTGGGTACATTGATGGGAGGCGACACATTAGCGACGTACACCACCCCGGTGCTTTTCACTATACTAAGAAATGAGCAATTTGATATTAAGTTGAAACCTTATTTTTGCATTTTATTATCCAGCTTAAACAGTTCAACAATTTAAAGTTACTGTGTTTATTTTCTCGTAATGGTATTGTTACCTCTATCACGTTTAAACGAAATCCCTTTATTTTGTTATCACGCCTTTCTTACCTCCTTTATCACTATTTACAGTTATTTTATTACTCCCAAACATTGGCTTGATATTTTTCTTCCCATATCCAGATACCAGTGCCACTACTTGTACTTTATACTCTGTTCCTCCCGTAAGTCCAGATATTGAGATGGTAGCAGTGTCGGGTTCAGTCAGCACGTACAAAGACCTCTGGTTTACTGGTTTGCACACCACAACATATCCATAGACATATTCACTGGGTTTTAAGAAAGAGCCGTTTAACGCTTGCCAAGATACTTCAATAGCAGATGAACCGTTAACCTTAACACTGATATTCCATTTGCTTTGCGTTTCAGCTGCAAATTCAAACAGGAATGTCAATGCAGCTTTATGAGCTTATAAAGATATTGAAATATGATCACCATTGAAAATCATTCATTCCAGACTTTCGAGGGACATTTATGACATTTCACCAAGGCAACTGCTTCGCTTAGCTCCTATGTAGTGGCTACGGCCCTTAGAGGAAACAGCTTTCGTCAAAATAAAACGGTTTGATCCTTCCTTTACTGATGACCCTTCCTCTGAAGCCTCAGCCCTCCCCCAATAAAAAACAAAAACAAAAACGCACGTTCCCTAATTTTTTATGCAGCGAAACTTTTTAAAACCGTAATCTTACTTACCATTTTCCAAATTTCCATTTACCATGGCATATCGTACCTTGAACCCTGCTTTCATTTTCCATCCAGTTGAATGACAGTGAATATTTACCACTTTTTGGCCAATAACAGACATTGAATCCTTCTGGGTTGTACAAAACGTCTGTGTCTGTCCGTTAGTGTCAACGAGTATGCTGTTTGACCTAAAAAAATTTTCAAAAAATGTCTTGAATTAGTATAACAAAGCTGCAGTGAATTGTAATAATTTATCACAACAATGAAATAACAATAGTCTTATTTATCAATTGACACGGTTTTCTTTGTTATTCATAAAGCTTTATTTTTGTTATAACCCTCATTATAGATGCGAGGTCACGGCAAACGTGAAGCGTCAGTTGACCAGTTAAAAAAAATATTTCAAATAGCTGAGAAAGAATCGCAAAAAAGTTCAAGTAGTAGAAAAACAAAAGAATATTTGTCTTTGGTAAGAAAGTTTGCAAGAGGTTAAGTAAAATACAGGAAAACGATGAAAACGTGGTCAAGTTTGCCGTTTGCGGGGAGAAAAAAAGTCAATCTAAAACTCTCAAATAACTATATATTGACCTCGCATAATATAATGAGCAATTCAGTTCAATTCATCAGCCCCGCTCATGCAGGTTATTTTTTTTTTTTTAAATCTTTTTTTCTTTATTCATCTGCTATTTTTAAGTCATATATATAAACATTTGATAAAAAACCTTCTCAATTGATAAATAAAATGCTTAATTACCGAGAACGGAGGCAATAATCCGAGGGCCGCAGGCCCGAGGGATGTATATCGTCTATTGCCTCCGTTCTCGGTAATTAATTCTTACTCAAGCCTAGTTTTCCCACCGATTCCCATCAGTTCTCACGTTCTCAGGCTTTAAAGGGGCAAATGGATGAAAATCAATGAAAATTGGAAATGACTTTAAACTTGGTTAAACTTATCTATATGGCCCAGAAAGTAGCCAAGCAACATGTCTCCTTCACAGTTAAAAGTCACTCAACCAATCTTTTTGGCAAACACTTTTCTCTCTTTCCGATTTCATAGAATATACATTTGAAAAGCTTACGAGCAGTCTCCATGTCCAAGTGTAATGTTTTCAAAGTACAGCAGTATGTTCCCATCAAATGGTGACTTGATAGTCCAGTGACAGGTGATTGGCTCCATGTAGTTGGGATATCCTGGGCTGGTTATCTGGCCTGTTAGGCTGGTAAGATTACCACCACATTCTGTAAATAGTTATTTAAGATAAGAGCATTAGGTTTATATTTCAAACTTTTGAAACGATATATTCAATGAGAATTGAACACGACAACGCTTCATTAAAATACCGTAAAAAATTACGAAGCGTATGAAGAAAGGAAGGCAAAATGTTAAAATAAAGACAAAAAATATTTTATTGCTTGATGGTATGTATTTGTGTATCCATGACGAACGGCGCATAACTTACGCATAGTTTTGTTGAGAGGACCTGCAAGGAAAGCAAACAATTAACAATTAATTATCAAATTGTGAATAATTAATGAGGAAAAAAAACACAATAGAAATCGGTCACTTCCAGCTGAGTTGACAGCATTCTCCGAAAGGAACTGTGGGTCAACCATTTTTGGTTAGCATTTTCCTAGCAGGGACTGAGTACATGATGTATAGATGTTAGTTATATCTCCTTGTGTCGATTGAAATCGAATTCCACCGTGAGTTCGACTACGGCGTTTATGCCGGATCAATCCTCAATTCTGATTGGTTGCATTCAACTTTCACACGGATTTTCTCACTCCAATCTCAAAAGTTTTAGTAGAACATGAAATTATATCCCTAAGAATTTGATAATAAATAAATATTTGTTTTGCTGTCCTTGAGTAATTCAATGTCTTATTTAAGCAGAACTCATCAGTTTGGAACAAACTGAGCTTCAAGTCAACCGAAATTGTTTTCCCTACATTTAAAAGCATTTCGATTATAAAATGTTGTCTGAAAAAAAGAATGTCGATAAATAAATAAATTTTAAAATGCGATAGAAAAGAAAAGAAGGCACAGCAAAACACATCAACATCAACAACAGCAAATTTAAAAACGCAGTCGAAACATAAATGACTAATTATCACAGTCTCCGCTCTCCTCATGTATAATGGATCATTGGATACAAAAGTTATGCACACTATTACCGGTCTTGAGAACATAAAACCAATATTAATAGAGTGACGACAAATACCTAATGCGTTGCCACAATATCTTGACCAACAGTTTGGGGTAATAGGAAACTCGTAAACGTAGAAATGACCACGATTTCGCACCCTGATGTTAGTTTTATATTCACAGCAGTTACCGTTCCAGTTAAAACAAACTTCACGTTGTATAATACTCCCATTAGTTAAAGGATGATTAGCATTCATCCATCCAGGGGCGAGAGTACCACAGCGCAAGTACGGGACGCACGTAGAAGGCATTTTGTCCCCAGCATCTCCAGAAAATCGATACCAACCAGGAGTAAAAGGATCACAATTCGGTAATGGTTGGAAAGTCAGAGCTTCTTGAGCATGGTCAGCATTTGATAGAATTGTGTACTTGAAACATTCTGGAGTTAAAGAAAATAATCTAATCAAATCAAACCTTAATGCTGTTTTTAAAGGAATTTCAAATGAAATACGTATGCCATTTCAGTCATTTCACAAATCATTTAATTTTTCGGCTAAATAGCCATGGTCTGTTATATCTGATATATAAACTGATATAGGAAAGGTGAAAAGTTCATTTGGACTTCTGACAGGTACATTCTATTTGACATAAGAAAGGTCTTACAGTGTTAAAGGCTATAGAGACTGGACAATGGTGTCAAAGTACTTCAACCCCTTCTCCCTCGGAATAAGTTTTTCACTCGAGCATCTACTTTTAAAATTCTTGATTCAGTAAAACGTAACAGGCCGACTTAGCTTCCTGACTTGAAGATTTCGGTAGCGAGATGAAAAATTACTGAAGTTTCAGTAATTCAATAAAAAATATAGGATGTTATGGATTAACTGAYTCTAAAAGCTAACGTACCTTGATAAGGTGGTATTTGTAATCGTTGTCCTGATCGACTACTCATGGAAATTGGTACCGCTTTGTGTTGGCCGGATGGTTGACTTCCCGGCCCAGTTCCTTCTTCCGTGTTTTCGACTGGATTTACCATAACTCCTGTGGCTGACACAAACACAAAAGCAATCTTAACTGAGGTCGACTCGACGACGGTGAATACACAAGTAAGAATTAATTACCGAGAACGGAGGCAATGAGTCATATACTTCCCAAGGGGGCGTAGGCTCATTGCCGACGTTCGAGGTAATTAAGAATTTTATTTATCAATTAAGAAGGTTTTCTATCAAATGTTTATATAATTGAATTAAAAATAGCAAAAAAAATAGATAAATAAAGATAAATAAATAAATAAATAATAATAATAATAATAATAATAATAATAA